CGTTAGAGGTAACAAGTATGTTCATGTGGAGGGACACTTAGGAGCAGGATCGAGAGGTCGCGTAACCATTCGCGGATGTTTTGGTCTGTTTCATACATCTCAGGTGCCAGTAAGGGGCTGGGGCCGTAGGGGTTGGGGATATTTGCTTGATAGTTCAGTTCAGTTTATTGAGGGAAATGTAGGTCTTCACCGTTGAACTCCCTATTTGTTTACAAGCGACTGCAAAATCTCAAAAATATCATAAAGGTATCATAAAGGAACAAATAATCGGAAAAGCGTCAGGTCTGTACAGACAAACTGTCTCGAATTTTAGTGGTACGAGCAGTTGTAGAGCGGTCGTTTCTAGTGCAGCGAAGAAGATAATACATCCGGTGACAAAATTTGCATAGGTTCATGTCAGTAAGCGTAGGCGATGGGTTGGGACAATAAGAAATTCAATTTAAAATGTTACTGAAATATAGCAAGTAGTATTATAACAACGGAATCCGTCGAGGTTAGAGATCGGGTAGTAATTTTGTGGACACTGCTATGCAAATCCAGCTTCCCCTTAAAGACCTCGACGGAAGGAGACATAACGCATCCACAGGCAGGGCATTCCAGGCTTCTAGCACTCTGTTGAAGAAGAACTTTCGTGTGCCCAGTCTGGCCCCTGTCACACGTAGTTTGAATGGATGGCCTCGTAGATTTGTGGTGGTTGCTAACTCGAAGAAGTCTGCCGGGACGAGGCTGCAGTCCTGACCGCGTATGCTACGGAAGGCTTGTATCAGGTCACCCCGTAACTGCCTGTAACTCAAGGGAAAGAGATCAGGGTTAGCTAACCGCGTTGCATATGGTAGTGAACCCTGTCCTGCCACAAGTTTCGTTGCACGCCTTTGAGCCCTTTCAAGGATACTGAGGTCCTTCGCGGTCCAGGGTCTCCAAGCTTGGGTAGCAAACTCTAGTTGCGGACGCACAAAAGTTCGAAAGACTTTAGCGAAGCAGTCTTCATCAAAGGCCGAGAAAGCCCGCTTGACAAGGTAGAGGACTGACATTGCAGACTTGGCTATCTTCGTTCAGTGCAGCGAGGGTTTGAGCGAGGTCGTAATCCATACCCCCAAGTCCTTCTGCGAGTCCACTTCTTGCAGTGGTATACCATTTAGGCAGTAGGCCATATGGTTCGGAGAGCGAGCTCTGCCGACTCGTAGAATATTACACTTTTTCTCGTTGAACGGCAGAAGCCAGGCCTTTGACCACTGGTGGAGTCGGTTCAGGTTCGCCAGCAAATGCTCTTCGTCATCTGCAGTTCGAATGACGCTCCAGAGCTTAATGTCATCCGCAAACATGGCGACACCACAATGCAGTTCACTCACGCAATCGTTGACGTAAATAATGAACAAAGTAGGACCAAGAACTGAGCCTTGGGGAACACCGCTTTCAACGGCAACCTCCGTCGACTGCTGGCCACCGATATAGACAGTTTGACAACGGTCTTATAGGAAGCTTTGAATCCATTTTAAGAGGTTACCCCTAACGCCTGTTCGGCTCAGTTTGTGCAGGAGTCGCTGATGTGGGACACTATCAAATGCCTTTTTAAAGTCGATATAGACTACATGCAGCGCATTGCCTTCATCAACTGACCGAGTCCAACGTTCCAAACAGTTGAGCAAGTTAGTCACAGAAGACCTGCCACTACGGAACCCATGCTGCGCATCAGATAATAAATTATGCTGCTCTAGGAAGCGCATCAGCCCTCGCTTGATTATTTTCTCCATGAGTTTGCAGCAGATGGAGGTGAGGCTAATTGGCCTATAATTGTTTGCAGAGGCCTTGCTGCCTCCTTTATGCAGTGGTGTGATCCGCGCAGATTTCCAGTCGGCGGGCAAGCAGCCGGCTCCGAACGAGGCTTGGAAAAGCATGGACAATGGTTTGGCTAGTTCGGCAGCGAGCTCCTTCAGTAACTTAGGCGGCATGTCGTCTGGACCTGGTGATTTCGACTCATTTAGCGTCCTTAGCTCTTTGCGAACCGTCGCTTCATCAAAAGATACAGACTCAATTTTTGGACCCTCATCGAAGTCGTAGTCAGGAGGAGTAAATGCATTTTCACTGGTAAAGATGAATTTGAAAAAATGTAAAAATTGCTCAGCTTTTTCTCCGTCCCCACTAATCTCTACGTCTCCGCTTGTCTTCAGAAGGGGGATTGGATCTCTGTTTCGTGTGCTGCTTCTTATATAGCTGTAGAATAATTTTGGATTTTCCATAGCACGACTCAATAGGTCTTTTTCAAAATTTTGCCGTGTCCTTAGGGTGAGTCGCTTGACTAGGTTCCTCTGTGTTTTGTATGCGTTTATGTATACAGGAGTCCCATCAGTAAGAGATTTCTGCCACAATCTCCGCTTTTTATTTATTTCCTTTTTTAACGCCTGGGTCAGCCACCGGGGTCGATTGTTTAGCCCCTTCCGTGAAAGCGGGCAGTGGTTTGTCAGGAGAACATGCAATAATTAACTGAACCATTTCCACTCCTCCGCTATATTTCCGGAAAACGCTGATTCCCAGTCCGTATTGTTGATTTCGGCCTTCATTTGATCGAAGTCCCCACGCCAAATATTTCTTCTAATTTTGGTGGGCTGTTCAGGCACGGAAAAGATTGAATAGTCCCATTGAAGTACAACGTGATCGCTTCGACCTAAGGGAGGCAGACATTGTACCTCATCTATGCTGTCCATCGATTTCGTGGGCACCAGGTCCAAGCAGTTTGACTGCTGCCCCTCACGGACCCTTGTGGGAAATAGGACGTGCTGTGTGAGAAATGACCTGAGTGCCATGTCCAAGAAGCGTCGGTCGAAAGCTAGTTCTGGGCCGCGCGCTTATAGTGAACTCCAGTCAATGAGCGGTGCATTGAAGTCGCCCATGATCAGGACGTCAGGCCGGAGAGCAAATCTTCCTAGCTCCTCTAGCAGACGAGCGTCAGCCTCGGGGTCACTCCTCGGTGGTCGATAGACGGTCAGAACTTCAAGGCTATGTGATCCTGGTACCCTTATAGTGAGCCAGATAGTCTCGGTGCTGCATGCAAACTGTTCTGTTTTTTCTGACACAAGCAGGCCGTGTTTTACGTACGTGACGACTCCTTCTCCCTGACGCTCTCTCCTGTCTCTTCGAAACAACTGAAATCCTGGTAGCATTAATTCGCGGTCATCCACGTTTTCAGACAGTCAGGTTTCTGTCAAAGAGACAACGTCAGGGGAAAGGTCACAGATGTGGATCTTCAGTTCGTCTAACTTGGGCAATATACTTTGCAAGTTGGTGCAAAAAATGTTAGTTTCAGAGCTTTGGGGCGTTTAATTATGGTGCCGCTTGAGATCCTATTTAAGGAAGCTATTGTGCCCTCATCCGGATCGGTTCGGTCCAACGGATTAGGGGAGGGCGCTGCACTATCTGGTTGTTGTAGATCACGATATCCGTCTCGCCATTCTGCAACCTTGTTCTCAGTTCCAGAACTAATTGTCGACGCTTTGTCATCTCTGACGGTGTGTAGTCCGGCTGAAAAAAACGCCGCGGTTGGTGTCTTTGATTCGGAATCGTCGTGAGAGAATAAGTCCTACTTGTCTTTGGTTGGCTAACACAATCTTGAGTGGTCGGGGACGTGAATGCTCTGATATGTCGATTGAGCGCTTTCCAAGTCTAAAGGCCCTGAGAACCGAAACTTCCTCATTGGGGCGCAGAAGTTCGTTGAGTAGGCATTGGAAGAGTTGCAGGTCAGCCGAGACCCGCTCTTTGGAGGCACTAGCTGTGGATTCGGGAAGTCTCTGAATAATCAGACAATGCCCTCTGACCGGCGACACTCTGGAGAACACAGTGGTTTCGTGCCCCGACAAAGGCAATATGTGGTTGCCATGATCTGACGAGGATATAAGCTGCAGTCGATTAAGATCCTCATTCGTCTCTGTTTCGTTTGCATTTTTATCAAAGTCGGAAGTTTTTTGCGATCGGTTGAGGGTTTTAGGACCCATGTCATTTCCCGTGATGGGTGACACGGACGCCGACGTCCCTGGTTCCGGTTCTTCGGAGGTATTCCTGGGAATATGCTGTGCACGTCCTTCGACCTTTTTGCTGCACGATTTCTTTTTTTCCCCTGGCTTTTTTCGTTGCTTCGCTGGTTGTTGTCGTCTTGTATTTTATGTGTGTTTGTGCTGGGTCTGCCGTGAAAGCTGCAGAAGGCGTTGATGGCGTGTCTTTTGTGCGACGCCCTTTTGCCCTGCTTCTAATTATTCGTCCAACAGGTACATTCGCATTGTCACCTGTGTCTAGTCTTCATTGTAGAAGAGTTTTCATCTTTTCCATCTCTTCCTCAAGGCGGTTGATTTTGCCGGCCAATATCTGGCATCCACTGCAAAATCGATCGGTATGCGGCACGCATTTACTATCAAGTAAACTTTGCGACATCGCTCGCCGCGGGGCTGTGGTTAGCCTGCGCGACTGAGATGTCGATGGTCGGTAGGTCGATTCCGTCATGCAGCGTACTATCTCGGGTGGCTGCGCAAATCTTCAGTAGGCAGTGAAAATCTGCAGGAATAGCAAGCTATTCCCTAAGGCACAACTGTGGACAGTGTCTATGCTTATGGTGGGTACGCCGAAAATTTCCAGGGAACACTTTTTCAGGTGAATCTATGGTAAAGTGAGACAACTCGAGGTGTCTGAATTTAAGCAGCACCCTAGTAGCAAACTATATCGAGACGATATCTAATAGATATCTATTTTTCCAGATACACCGAAATCGGCGATAGGGACACGTTAGGGCATGCGCATGCTGCGGTTACTTGTTCTTATACCCATATCTAATTTTATTATTGTCTGTTCGCCTTAGTCATCCCATCCCGGCTTACTTTGCCTGCTGTTGTCCACTTTACAGCGCTTTTAACGGGCTAATTGTCGTCGCTATTGCAACCGATGCAACTAGACCCACCAAAAGGAACTATTTTGAAGACGTGTTAATAGGAAAAAAGTCTATTTGATAAAAAATAATATGAAATATGTTTAATACATAGGGGAGTCATTTGCCACGGACGAAACATCACTAGTTGAGCAACCTGGGTTGTTTTCTAGAGGGGAGGAATAATATTAAAAAAATGAACTGTATTCACCAGTCCAGCTGTTGTGGCCGATTTGTTTATGCTGGCGCTGTACATAATTATCGAGGGATATCCGTAGTAGCAAACTATATCGAGTAGATATCTATTAGATATCTATTTATCGTCGTCGTCCCTCCTCGCTGCTATATATATATATATATATATATATTTCGAAGAAGAATGAGTCCTTTGGGAAAATAAACAAACTTTATTTCGTAAATTTTCGAGTCTGGTTCCCCAGCTCGTCTTCAGACGTGTAGTAAGTGTGAAGAAACAGTCAAAATTTAAACAATGCCGAAAAAATCGATATTGCTCTGTCATGACTTAGGATGGGTTAATGCTGTGGGCTGATGTCACGTCTTGATTGGCTATTACCTTTTCCATTTTTCTTTGAGACTTGTGTACATGTTGTCAAGGTCGATGCGTCGATTGATGCATGAATCATCAGAGTGAATGGCCTCTAGGAATTCTCGGCCTTTCTTATAGGGGCAGGAACCGACAATGCGTGTTTTATCCCAAGCGAATTTGTGCCCAGTTTCAAGAGTATGCATGGCGACTTGGGATAAGTGGTCCTGCCTCTTCACTGCCAATTGGTGTTCATGTAGGCGTGTAGAGGCGGATTTTCCGGTTTGACCACAATACACTGCATTACAAGTGCCACATGGAATCTTATAGACTACTTCTTTCTTATCCAAATAGCCAACCCTATCCTTAGGGTGTACAAGCTGATTGCGTAGCGTGGTAGTCGGTTTGTGAGCCACTTGTATTTGGTGCTTCCTCAGGTGTCTTGCAACGAGTTCAGACACATTTCTAATATATATATACATATATATATATATATCGATTAGATATCTATTTTGACGCAACCATAGATATCTCTTAGATATCGATTAATCGAGATACTTCGCTATCGGCGAAAAGGGGGGGGGTAATATGCTACGCGTGGAATCGTTTGCTTATCCCAATGCCCTTTTCTACCCCCATCCATTCCTTGTTGTATGTATATTACCCCTCTATTACCCATAGGTACACTGGAGACGGTTGTATTGTAATTTGTTCATTCAAAAAATTTAAATTAATATGTACAATAGTTTGCTGAACCCCTTCTGTGTTCACATAGGTAACGCAGGCGAGGAATCAGTAGATGATTCGGGTATATTGTCTAGAAATTAAAATCCATTACTGGACAACTACAATTAATTTACCACTGTCATTGGGCGTCAGTTGTGACTTATTCCTCCGCTAGACACAACTGTCGAGCGACCTCTTCAGCCGCTTGGTAAGTGCTGACTCAAGGTTAGACAGCTTTACGGTGGAATCGGTATTCCACGCTCCGAAGACTTCTGCATGTTGTATAGTTGTAAGTAACGGCACACCTACCAAGTATAACCTCATACAATTTATAACCGCAGAGGCTCTCTTTCGTTTTTCTGCCTTTGAAATTGACATAAAGGCTGATCTCATCGTCGAAGACTGCGAAGAAAATTCGCTTGACGAATTCGTCAATATTCTGCCCACCAAGGCATGTAAGGAAGGAAGTCTAACGCAATAGGGTGTGATTAATATGGTGGCTTACCAGCTCCTGTCGGAAGCTCTTGTCCAGTAATTGGACATTCAAATTACGAAATTCGGCTGCAGACCGTAAGTGGTGGTCGAGTGGGTTCCTCGGCAGGTGAGATGCTACCGGTCCCGGGGTTTTAGCATGCTGTTGAATCATTGATTCTAACAGCCGCTGACGGCCGAGTAATTTGCGAACAGTCTCCACCAGAATGTCTAGTTTCATTGACTGTGCACGCATGTGTTTGCACATGAGCAGCAGGATATCTTCCTGCGCATTAGCTTTCGGCACTGTGGTTAAGGTGTCGTCACCGAGGGGGACGGTGTCGAATGAATCATCGGCGTCCACCTGCGGCTCCTGAAAGGTATGATAGCGTTATTTTCCATAACTTACTGGCGATGAAATGCCTTCACCTTCCAGTAGGTAGATCGCCTCATCAATCGCAGACCTCCTTTGTCGGGCCGGCAGTTGGCGGGACGGTAGTTGGCTCATGTGTATATCTACAAACGCACAGGAAATAAGGTGAATTATGTGCTAGCGTAATGGCCACTTCTTCCCTGCAGTGCTCGCAAACCAATACCTAGTGAGGTTATTCTGGCTATAATACCTGTGCGTTTGTAGGGTTCACGAGCACTGTTTGCATAGGCAAAAGGATAGTAAGTGGCTTCCCTAATTATCTATATAATTTCAATTAATACGTACTGGTTATCTTCTGGAATGCATACGTACTTAATGTAGTCATTGGGTAATGGTAAGCAGACTAACTTGTTATCTATGCTGGCTTTATAAACGTTCATAAGTGAGGAATTTTTTGGATAGTCAAAGTAATCTGAAGTATTGCTAAATTCATGAAAGACTAAACGTATACATCTACCTGCATTGCATAGTATGTTTTTAGCACATACTATTCTATTGCCAATTTCTATGCACCTATTGCCTGAGGTAATGTCAATGCGATATTTGTCTGTGATTAGACATTTATACTGCTGACTCCCCTCATAGCCTGCTGGTATCGGTCCTGCATTATGCTCATGCAGGAATCTAGGTGAAGAAGGCTTTGAGGTATCGCGCGTAGCTACCTCCTCCTCGCTTAAACGCCTAGCTACCTGTTGTAAAGGCCGTGATGGGCTTCTAAGCAAATTCTTCAATCTGCCTAAATAGCTTTCAAAAGGGAATGACGAAAATGAGTCCAGTGGACCGTGACGCTCAACATCGTCCGCAATGTGCATAAGGCTATGCACATTGTAAACCTTGTGTTCGTCACCGTATAGACTCGCAAACCTTCTAGTAAACAGTAATAACAACTGCCTACAATAACCTACGTTTCGGTAGCAGGTATTAGGAGAGGCAAGCAATCTGAGGGCAGTAAAAAGCATTAAATACAATTTATAATGATTAAGAGGCAGGATACTCGGGAGAACAACAAGACCTAGATACAATGCAAACTGCCTGAACTCTGTAGCCTTCCAGGACTCGAACTCACTTAAACACCTAGCTTTTTGTGAAAACTCTGATGGAAGGCAAGCGTTTAAAGAACGCAACCTATCGTCTATAGCCTTTACCTGCACTGCCTTCAGTACCGAAGGCGTCGTGCGACCACTGTCCTTTGAACGATGATTTCTAACCCACAAACTAAGTAAGCGTTTCACTACACCCAAGTAAACTAGATGCATGGGATCTAGAGGAAATTGGTTAATAAGGCCAACGTTGCAAGAGAGGAATGGAGACACTCCGACTCTGTGTTCGTCCTCCACAGAGTGCAAGAAGTCCTCATCCGTCCTATCCCTCACTCCTTTCTCTAGGTACACTACTTTTCCCATATAAACACCCGTTACTGTACAACGTTCGCACACACTATACGCATTCACGTTCTTGATTTGCTTAACGAAAGCCCTCGCAGGAGCGTCACAGATAACAGAGCTGGCGCGAACGCGGGTCTGCAGTCCGACGCTGTCGCTGCTGTTGATCCCTTGCTCGCTTAATGATGTTAACTCACTAACTACTAACTTACAGAATGCACGGACATCTGACGGTTTTCCAGCACCACAGTAAATGCCAACTGGAAAAACGTTACTGACAATGGGCCGCGAAATTCTACCTAAGATTGGCCACATTTCGGTATTTACCTTTCTGAATACTGGGAGACCATCGATGGCTAACTGAAGCTCTATATCGCAACCTGGGTTTACTATATTCTTACTTATAAGTCGACGTAGTTGCCTTTCTATGCCGACGTGCACATCCTCACCGCAACCCATTGGGGCAACCTTTAGATCATAGGCCGCTCCCAAGAGTGTTCTGGAGTCTGCCGGTAGTTGGGGCACAATCGGCTCAGAAATAGCCAACAGGGCTCTTATGGGAGCGTGTGCAATCTTAAAGTCCAGCGCCCATTCGCGCAATCGTTTGACGTAAATGTCGCCCGGGGCAACGGCTACGGTCTCCAGCGTCCGAAGACGCTCCTGCATTCGTCCTCAGGACAGCACTTTCGGCCGACGAAGTGGTCCTGTCCTCCTGCATAGGCTGTAAGAGTTCTGAGCCGCCACATAACGTGCTTAAAGGGCGACTTTGCGATTTTCGTCTACGTTTCACAGCCCCCACGATTTCCCGGAACTCCTCGTCTCCATACCTCTTAATACGTCGTAATCCTGTTCTCCGGGATTCCTGCCTAAACATGGTAAAGATAGAAACAGCAGACAAGAGGTTTAAATCAATAATAATGGGAGGTAAATGCAAGCAGTGTCACGTCACGCGTTCCACACAACTGTCGAGCGACCTATTCAGGCGCTTGGTAAGTGCTGACTCAGGGTCAGACCTTCCTTATGCTCCATGTCCATGTCCGTGTGGTCTTTCAGTACATCATCAATATTTGTAGGTGGAAGATTCACGACGGCCTCATCAAACGAGTCGTTAGTATTTGCCACATCTATTTCTCCACCAAAACTGACCGCTCGATTTCTGACATTGATACAGCAGTCGTATTTGCTAAGGAAATCCATACCTAACAATAAGTCCCATGTCAAGCCGGGGACAACCAAAATGTCATGGTCCTTACACGAACGTTCGAATTGTAACTTGATGTGGACAATCCCTAAACACTCTAAGGCGGATCCATTAGCTGCGACTAACGTAGGGAGGGGCCCATATTTATGTATACGTCCGTGTAGAGGATGAGTAAAGATAAGTGGGTTAGCAAGTGAGAGTGTAGCGCCAGTATCTATAAGGGCTCTAACAGGTTTGTTTTCAACATAAATAAAGAATGATGGGTCATCAGACGGCACAGAACAAACTGGGATAGAAACGCTACCAGGTTGTTGGTACGAGTGTCTGTCCTCCGGCAGCCACTGTCGCACTCCACACTGGCACTGCGGTGGTTGATATTCCCTTATTTGATTACTGCGTGGTTGATACCTGGGATGTGGTGGACGAAATCTAGCGCCGTTAAAGAAATTATGCCCAAAACGCTGTGGTGTAAAATTAGATGCATTTGTTATTTGGGGGCGTTGAGGTGCCGGCCGCCAATTTTGCCCAGGGGAAACCTTGGATCTTTCAACTTCGACGAACCGATCTCCTCGGTCGATAGCATCCTCTAAAAATGCCGGAGATTGTAATTGAAGTGACTCTGCTAGAGTACGAGAGGACAACCCTTTTATAAAATGGTAAAGGGTGACTTCCTCGGCGTCCGCAGCGTTCAAAGAGCGATAAGCCTCTTTACATAATCTCAGCATATCCTCCGCGAACTGTCGCGGAGACTCGTGTGGCTGCTGACGGCGGTTGAGGAATGTTTCAGTCGACTGTCCTACGGACGGTCTTGGGGAGAAGAGCCGGCGTAGTTGGCAACAAAGGTTTTTAGATGGAGTACGTCCTGATACTCCAGAATTAAGTGCTTGGCGGAGTTGCCTACTTGCCAGATGTTTCAATAAGTCGCGGCTTTTTTCGTCGTCAGGTACTTCCTCCAAATAGAAATCAAGCAGATTTAGCCAATCCCCGAAGTCTTCTTCTCCATAAAAAATATGAAATGAGGATGGGATGGCGTGGTAGTAGGCTGCTAGGCTAGGCTAGGCTGCTAGTAGGCTAGGGCTAAACGGGTCTGTCGTGTGCGCTGCCACCATTGTAATACTCGAGTTACCTGATGGCTTGGTCCCGTCTATGTTGGGGTTTTCGGGAGGTAGTTGAGGCTGTTCGTCTGTAGAAGGCATAGCAGACATATCCATCACGTCTCTCCTTTGTGTGGGGGTCTTATGGGTATGATCACGCGAATTTCAACAGCCTATACCAGAAATGAACTTCCAACAAAGGAACGTTTACTGAATCGAGAACTAGGAGTAAGAGGAATTGTAAATTGTGGGGTAGAGGGGTAAAGGGGGCAACAATGGTGTAAGGGAACCAGAAGGTATGCGCGAGCTTTCCTCCGATTTACCCGCCTCCCTGTCTAGGCGTCGGTACGCGGGGTTTCACCTCCTGCGCGTCCGCTTGTTGATCCGTCACCGTGGCTTCAAAGAGAGCGGATTGTCGCTCAGGAGAGCATTAACAAAGGAATTAAAACAAACTTAGCAACAAATATCTTATTTCATAAGGCGTTCTCGGATGCCGAGGTGGCTCAGTTTGTGAAAAAGGCGCTGGTGCGGGACTGTGTCAAATGCCTTTCAGTGTACACGACATCGACCTCGATATTATCCAGTCGCCAAACCTAGTGCAATATCTGCAACCGAAAGGAGTGCTCGCTTCTGAAGTCAGGTGTCGTTGTCGAAAACCCATGCATCCCCAAACTTAGTACAATATCTACGAGATAAAGGAGTCCTGGCGGCGGAAGTCAGATGTCGTTGTCGGAAACCCATGCGATTGCGAATATTGCGTCAACACACGGACGGTTTCGCATTCCGGTATGCCTCTTTGGAGGACACAGGTGTAGTAAGGTGCGCAGCTCTGGTCGGCATAATTGTGAATGCTGCAGTCGAATGGTATGACGTCTGGCGGGATTTTTACACGCAAGCCCTCGTCAAAGAGGTAAGCCAATTAGGACGACCTGAAGTGGAGGTTTAAGTTGATGAGACAATGATAACAAGACGCAAATACAATGTCGGACGTTTGAGGAATCAGCGCTGGATTGTGGGTAAGGATCTGCAACTTGATGGCTATTTGTAGGCATGTACGACACAAACAAACGGAAGGCGATCTTTGAACAGGTAAACAATCGCAGCTGGTCTTCCCTAAGAAAACACGAGAATCAAGCAGCGACACGCAGGACGCCACAACGTAAGCGGGGTAAGACTTTAATTCGAAGAATGTGGTTCGGCGGAAGAGAAAATCCGCAAATAATCGTTTATTGCAACTGTGGCCACATTTAGGATTAAAACTATGACAGTAGTTGTGTGCTATACGTGAATGGTGTATGATAAAAAGAGGAATGAGCACTCTGTATGTGAAGTTCTACTTTGTCCTGCATGCAGAGCCCAGTGTCTTAGAAATAATTCAGTCCGCCTACCTAGTGCAGTATCTCCAACAGAAAGGACTACTGACCTGTAGGGTCTTATGTAGATGTCGAAAGGTCATGCCATTACAAATACTGCGACAGCACACCGATGGTTATGCCATCAGGTAAGATCTGTGTATTGTGGTAGGCAGACTTAAGATGGGCCCGTTGTGGTGATAAGAGAGCACTGAGAATGGGCTCAGTGTTTGACGGGAGGCACCTGTCACTGCCGAAGGCGATGAAAACCTCCCTTGCTTTCATTGAAGGCACTGGGGTGATCAGATGTGTAACCGCAGTTGGTATATGTAACAAGACCGCAGTGGAGTGTTACGGTGTGTGGCGAGACGTATGCACAAAGACCCTCCTGCAAGAGGTCAGTCAACTTGGTGGACCGGACGTCGAAGTCCAAGTCGACGAAACGATGATTTCGCGGCGCAAATACAATGTTGGGTGACTCAAAAAGCAGAATTGGATTATAGGTAAGTGGACAGCGTGTCATTACTCCATGGTTGGCATGTATGATTCGTCCAAAAAGAAAGCCTTTTTCGAGCATGTGAATGATCGAAGCTGGCCGTTGATAAGGGCTGTCATAAAGAAGTGGATTGCGCCGGGGATTGTGATGGTCACTGATCAATGGAAAAAGGCGGCAGGATGGTAGTTGGTAGCCCTGCCCACTGATTCTACAATTGCACCTGCTGGCTATATTTCAGTAGCTGTGATTACGTTCTCATTATGTCTGGGAGTGCACGCACAGTAGCCCTGTCAGGGTGACTTTCTTCTTCACATTAGCCGCCCCGAGAACGATGCGCT